TGGGCCTTTAATCTTAAGAACATATTTGAAGGTAAAGTAAAGGCATTTTTCAAACTTGTTCTTATCAACAAGGCAGAGAACTAACCAGGTCTGTGTTTCAGCTAAAGGGAAGCAGGGACCCAAGGTGAATATTCAAGGGAGTTTAATACAAGCTTTGGAAAACTGTCATATTCCTACCTTGTGTCAGCATCAAGGTAAGTTATACTCAAGAGCTTTGCTCTAATATATATATACTCAATGCCTAGTATCTTAAAAGCATTTGTAAGTGAAGTGAAATGGTCATCACTAAGAATCACTAAACCTGAGCCTATGTAAGCAGGGTGATCAAAGAACATTTTCTAGGAGAAAAAAAGATAGAATTTGAAAAATCACACACACACACACACACACACACACACACACACACACACACGTCTTGCAGCTTACATGTGATTTTGCCCAAAGTGTAGCTCTGGTCTGCTTAGCTTTGTAAATGTGGCTGTGCTTGTAAGATACTTTAATTCACTGCAGTGATGGTGGTTGTTAATTTTATGGCAATCTAAATCTAAACAGGCTTCAGCTACATTTTCATTACAGCTCCACTGCAAAACACAGTAGTGTGAATAACTCTCAGATTCCAACGTAGTTTCTTTCTTTCAGTAAGAATCAACATATTTTTCTAACAAAGCTGTGTCTTTAACATATATGTTCATCCTATTTACTGGTAAGTTTTCTGTTACTCAGAGTATCCATGATTACTCTGAGGAAGAAAAAAATAATTTTTGGAAAGTAATTAAAAGATCTCTCATCTGCTTGTTCCCATTTCACATGCAATTCAACACGAGCAGATCTAAGGAGACCAGAATACACCTGCATTGTTTTCCAATTCTGCCTGGATGGCAGCATAATGCAATAGACAAGGACAGCATATTGTCAGAGACCAGTTTCAATGCCTGACTCTGACATTAACTAATGGTTGACACTGAACAAATCATTTGACCTCCCTGAGTCTCATCCATAAAACTGAAATTACAATCCTATCTATTTTAGAAATCCTGGTCCTTCCATCTCACTTAGCGCTGTGTAGCCATTCTAGTAATATCAGTGCATATCCCTGTACCCTCAAGAATTGAAAGAAAAAGTCTTTTGTGCAAAAAAAAAAAAAAAAATCACCTATCATAATACCTTAGTAATACCTTAGGAGAACTACAGACAGAAGAGCTATAAAAGCTAGGAACAAAGACAACACAAGAAAATTAAATGCTGCTGTGTGAGTTCTGAAATACAGGAACAATGCATAAATTAAAATTTTGCTGAATCTGTCAACTAGTCATCATACCCCATTTGTTTATCTGACCATAATGCTGCATAAATTTTGTGTATCTATATTTTTCTTCTGAGAGTGTTAGAAACAAGAAAAGTATATACTTAAATTGTTGTTAGGATACTGACCATACCCAGTAATTAGACTCATGATACAGTTAAAATTTTAATTCTTAATTATTTAATTCGAAAATACAAAAAATATTATCTTATGTACAACTTGTATGTTAAATGTCTTTTTAAAGAAAAAATAGAAACAAAAGCCCTGGTGATTTGGTCAGACATGGCTCACATCTGTAATCCCAGCTACTTACTAGGTGGAGATCAGGAGGGTAGCAGTTTGAGGTCACCCAAAGTGAGACCTCATCTCAATAAAAAAGCTGGGCATGGTGGCACACACCTGTCATCCCAACTATGCTTAAGTAGGAGAATTGTGGTGCATGCTAGCCCAGGCAGAAAAGTGCGACACCCCACCTGAAAAGTAACTAAAAGCAAAAAGGGTTGGGGGAGTGGCTCAGGTGGTAGAGCACCTGCCTAGCAAACATGAGGACCTGAGTTTAGACCTCAGTATCACTGGTGGAGTGGCTTAAGCGGTAAGAGTGCCTGCCTAGCAAGCATGAGGCAAAACCCCAGCACAGCCCAAAATAAATAAATAAAATGGTTAAACCTCAGTATGGTCCCCACACAAAGCAAAAGCAAGCCTTGGTGATTTGGTTTTGGTATTAGCTACAGTTACTAAAGCGCTCATGACGGTATTCAGGGTTTCTAAAACAATGAGGCACAGGTCCTGGCCTGGGACTGCTTCCAACATAACCCAGCTTCCAACAGGAGACACTATACAGCAAGAAAGCAGGTGCAAAGGGACACAGTGCCTCAGGAGGGAAGTAAGGAACCACCCAATTCCCCAGCTGTAACACTTGCATGGGCCCCTATACATCTTACCATGAAGGTGGTGAATGTGTATAGATGTACTTAATGTAAAGTTATGCAGTGAGGATTTTACTACAAATTAGAACCATTTTCTACTGTCTATGCTCAGGGCAACATTTTCAACCATGACTTATTTTGTTTACTCTCAATTATTCATATGTCAAATCAGAAAGCTGGCTTCTTTCTCTCTCTCTCTCTCTCTCTCTCTCTCTCACACACACACACACACACACACACACACATTTTTCCTTATCTGTACATTTTCTACCAAAATTTATTCCTACAAATAAAATAGTTTTGAATCCCAGAAAGTCCTACTCAGAATACAGAAAATATTTTATAATATTAATTTACATTGCATTTAAGATAACACTACATAAATCTTTTTCAGTCCCTCAAAATCCTCATCCCAGGGGCAGAATTCAGCATTTATTTAATACCATCATATCCGGAATATTAGAAAAGGCAATGGGAGGGCATGGTGGTACACACCTGTAATACCAGCTACTTGAAAGCTGGAGGCTGTCTCAGGCAAAAATGTGAGACTCTAAAGGCCCAGAATTCAAACCCTAATTCCACCAAAAAAAAAGAAAAGAAAAGAAAAAAGAGAAACAAGACAATGAGGGGGAAAAAACATATAACTGAAACTTTTCAGAGAACTTGTAAAAAAAAAATCAGTATTAAAACTGAACAGCAGTTGATGTAGTAGTGGAGAGGGGAGGGATGGAGAAAAGGAGAGAGGGGTGAACAGCACAGAGAATCATCTTTAGAGCAGTGGAAATACTCTGTATGATACTGTAAGAGAGTACCTTAGGCCACATCCATACAATCTGCAAGATCAAGTGGCCCCTAATGTAAACTCTGGGTGATGATGTGTCAGTGCTTATCAACTGCAAGAACCATGCCACTCTGGTGGTGGGGATATTGAGTAGGAAGGCAGCACATACGTGTGAGCAGGGAGTACAAAAGGAATCTCTCTGCCTTCCTCTAATATTGCTTCCAACCTAAACTGCTCTTTAAATATTAAGTCTTTAAAGAGAGAAAGAAACAAAAACTCACCAGGACCTACCACTTCACACTAAAAACCAAAGTGTATAGACTTTAAGGAGTAACTGCTATTGAGTGTGGTAGCTCAAGCCTGTAATCCTAGCTACTTTGGGAGGCAGAGATTGGGAAAATCATGGCTCAAGACCAGCTTAGCCAAAAAGTGAGACCCCCATCTCAACCTATAAAAGCTGGCTGTGCTGGTATGTACCTGTCATCCCATCTACACAGGAAGTATAAATAGGAGGATCACAGTCCAGGCCTTCCCAGGGATGAATGCAAAACTCTATCTCAAAAATAACCAAATCAAAAAAGGCTTAGGGGTATGGCAGGTGGTAGAGCACCTGCCCATCAAGCACTAGGCCTTGAGTTCAAATCAAGAAAAAAAAAAAAAAGCAATGTCTACATCATAAAATATTCATGGGTGAAATGAGATGACTATTTTTAAATGACTATTTTTAAATACTATTTTTAAATATTTTTAAAAACAAAAAAAGGTAAGGGTAGAGATAGACAAATAATACTGGCAAAATGTTGATTATTTATGTGGGTGATAAGTGTATAAAGTCTCTTTTAAGTTGAACCCTATGACATTACCAATATGCAACTGTATTATTGTTTGGTTTTTTGGAGATGGAGGCCTCACTATGTTGTCCAGGCTGCTCTTCAACTCCTGAGTGAAAGCAACTCTCCTGCCTCAGTCTTCCGAGTAGCTGTAACTACAGGCTCATATCACTATGACTTGAAACAGTTTTTTTATCCTAGGCTATTTACAAGACTAACCTCTTCATTTTTGTTTATATTTAAAAGTTGCCATTATAATGGGGTTGTTTTGTTACTTTTCAAATGAGGATTCTTATCAAATGAGAATACCTCAATATAAATGGCATTTTAGCCTTATATTAGCAACTAAAATCATTAAAATGCACTACCAATTACACTTACTACACTGAATCTAAGATCCACTTATTTTTCCCATATTTTAAACTTCTCTGAAAGTTTGGAAACAATTTCTAATAAGTATCATGTTGTACTTAAGTTGGCAATTTGACCTTTTTCTTGGTGGTACATAAAACAATGATGTATCTTAAACTCAAGAACATCTTAGATTCAACGAAGCACAGCTAATAAAATTGCTGAGAACAGGATTTATAATCCTTATTTTCTTTGAAATGAGGAATTTAGCATGCTGCACAGTATTCCGTCTTGGTGCATCCACAGTTAACCTGGGAGTCCCCTCCTCAAAGGTCCAGGCCAAAACCTGCTTACTTGTGAAGTTAGCTCATGGCACAATCCATGAGAATTAATTCCTAGGATTCCAGAGCTCACAGCATAGGAGAGAAAAGCTCAGTGCCATGCTTCCCTTCAAGGCTGTTAAAGCTTCTGAACACAGCCAGTGCATAGTAATTTCACAAGTTCTGAAGGGCATCAAATGGTAGGTTAGAGGGAAGAATGGCTGCAGGTGTGGTGGTCAGGGCATGTGAAGGAGAGGAATGAATGCGACTGCAAGTCAATGGACAAATCAGGGTTAGCTTCACCCCAGAAATCTCAAAGGGTTCTCCTTGATGACTCCAACAACTCATTTGGGTTTTTGCATAGCTCCCATTTGCTTTGCTCCTTGTGTTAACACCTACCCCTCATGGCCCTCGGAATTGGTTAGCATAGTCTAGTAGAAGAGCAATAGTCAGAGGGTTTGTGCAGGACTGAGAGTGGCGGCTGCTGACCTGTTCATATTTCTCCAGTTCTGTGTGATAGATCTGTCTGATCTGGGTCAATTTGGCTCTGTAATCTGAGTGTTCAATAGAGTTATCTGAAGAACCTCCAGAGGCTGCCGCGGCTGCAGCTGCTGCCGCCGATCCCCCACCTTTCTCAGGACCTGAAACCCCTTCTGCCAAAAGCATATTGTCCAGTCTCATTAGCTGGGGATCGGGAGGGTCTTCCTCCTGGGCTCCTCTGATGCTGAGACCTTCAAGGAAAGAGAGAAACAGAGAGAAGAAGCGAGAAACAGGACAAACAGTGTGAGTATTTTGTTTATTTGAGAAAATGATCAAACAACATCAGTGTACTACAATTCATGCTGAGAGCTTCACTGCTCTCATTGGATCAAAACCTTGGGTATGGAAATTACCTTCAAGACAACATTTACATGCACCCTGGAATTTCTAATACTCTCCCCATAATTTACCCCACACTGGATGCTTAGAAAGAAGTAATCCTGACTCCTTGGAATATTCTAATCATCCAAGCTTCTCAGATTTAGATGACTTAATGCATAAAATAAGGTGGGAAAACTGGAGGTTTTAAGAAGGAAGAAAATTATTCCAGGGATAAAAAACAAACTCATCAAAAGGTGGTTATTCTGTCTCTGTACAGTCAGAGAAACACAATTAAAATTCCCCTAACATCTTCAATTCACAAGATATATCCAAAAACTGGAAAACAAACAGGATTAGGTGGCTTTTCCATTACATAAATTCAAAAGAAGAATGTATACAATAAGAAGTAATTAGCTATACTAAAATACATGTATTATTAAGTGAACATTATTAAGCAATTGCCAGCAAACTATAAAATCAGGACAGTAAATACAGCATTAAAAATGTGCCAATGACATGGCAATAGAGTGCTAGGCACAGTAGTCTCAATATAATTTTGCTTTTAAATCAAGAACTTCCTAAGTGATGCCCCGTCAGCAACCTCTTCTTAGTATTATAGATCACAGCTGACAATTCATAGGTTTAATCAGGTCACACAGGCTTTTTGCCAACATGTTTTCAACAACACAGAGACAAAGTTTTAAAATAATTATCATAGTATAAAAAGCACTGGAGTCATGACTGCTCAAAATCAGCATTTTCATTAACATGTTAACATGATCTAAAATATCCCAGCCCAATTAACCTCTGTAAGTCTGTTTACGAGAATGTTCCCCACACTAGTTACAAGGCTTCTTGGGGAGGGGGGACGTTGGCACCTTGCATGTTTGCATTTGGATTCTGCCTTTTGCGTCTGTGACTGTTGTTCATCCACAGTGGTGCATATTTTGTGTCTAGTGTAACTTACATGACAGTAACATCTATAAGCTGCCAAGTACTCAACTGATCACCAGCTCTGCAATTTTGTATGCTAACCTAACACTACCATCAATTCTAGGCGGGCGCTCCACCACTTGAGACACGCCTCCAGCCCCAGCATCAGCTCCTTTAAGAACGGGCTTCGTCCATACATGTCTTGAGTTATACCAGTGTAACACAGCTCTTGGCCGTCTTAATGCAAATGTGTAACTTTAATCTCCTCCCTCCAAACACTTTAAAGCTGTCACTTTTGTTTAAAAATATACTTCAAAATAATTTCAACTGGCTAATAAAACCAACTCTCTATAACCTAAAATTATACCTGATGACTCTTCAGAGGCAAATAAGTAAGGTTTGAAAATTTTAAAGTACTAAGACAATAAATTCATTTAGGGAAACAGAAAGTTAGATAACTTTTTTAAAAAAAAAACAAAACCAAAAAACTCTATCAACACATTCGTTGCTGATAACTAAAGATAAACAAATACGTACTTGCTATTTTTCCTAAAACGAGGGAAAAAAACCTGCCTAGTATTTGGCCAAGTTGGCATTTTAAACTCAGTATCTTTTATTTTTCTCCCTTCTAATTCACTAAAATGTTTTAAATGTTAAAATCTCATGGCCCATATACCAAGTTTTCTGTGTACTTGGCATGCAGTGAGGGTTTAGGAGTAATCTCTTACCTTATACTTGTTCTATTATTTGTTTAACTTAACTTTCGCTCATATTTTTGTGTAGGCATTGTTTCTGTTTTGTATTTACAGGTAACTGTGCTTCTCCTAGAAATGTATTTTTAGCTGTCTCCAAGGCTCCATCAAGTTTCTAACTCCCTCTGTGCTTAAGTACACTGATCCTTTCCCTGTGGCCATGTGGTGAGGTTCTTTAATAGTACATCAACAGCCCTAGTCAAAATTATTACACCTCTCTGTACTTTCCCACACAAGTACAGCAGACAAGAAAGGATGCTCAGTGACTAATGCACAGGGCAGTAGACCATAGGAGAGAGAAGGGAATTTGTCAGCAAGAAATACAAAAGGCATAAACTAATTTGCCATCCAGGACACCCTTCTATACACCTTATACATACACTAGTAGGAAGTCCAATAGCAATGAACAAGAAAAATTGTACATATGTATTTTCAGCTGTGGTAACATTTTCCTCTTATGATGAATACTGTATTTCTAAAATCGTAAGTAAATCAACATGTGTTTGTCTCAAGAATGAGGAAAACTGCTTAAATGTAATCCTTCTGTATTTACTTTACAAATTATGTATATCAAATCTCATCAGAAAAATCATTTCCTGACAGAAACTTCATACTCCTTTGAAAGAAAAGCACTACAACATTTTGCAATTAGACAGTGTTGAGAAGGCTATTTATCAATAATGAAGTAATTTTCATAACTATAGTTTGAAAAGTTAATCTAATTTTTTCCTTTATTAAGCAAAGTAATAATTATGGGATCTCTAAAAAGTATTATTTCGTTTTCAAAATTATTTTCAATTTGAATATTTGTGTTTTTTCCTGACGTTACACTCAAGTTACTATTTTATTCCTCATCCTACCTATCTATTCATTCACTATTACTTGGCTTAAGTAACCTTCCTAAATCACATATGGTTTACAATCCTAATACCTACTCCTCTGGGCACCTATAAACATTTTAATGAGCTTAAATTTGTAAGGGCCAGAATGACCAAACTGGTAATCAAAAGATCTTGATAGCTTCACATTGAAAGGTGATAAAACAATTTAAAGATTGGTTATTCTTTACCCAAAATGTATGTATACTGAAACTTATAAGGAGATTTGTAAAATTTTACATCTGGGCTCTTTGGTTATCACAGCATTATATAGTTAAAAAAATAAAATAAAAAACAGTAGATCTATTTACAATCTACTTATAACCACAACATTCATTTCAGTATCCCTAAGATTTAGACAAATCATACAAACACAGTAAAACATTGTTTAACAATGAACTTGGCTTTGTTCTAAGCCCACGGTTTTTGCATATCTTTCAGCAAATCCTAATTAGCTGTCTTTCACCATTCTGTGCACCTGCCCCACAGATAATGGGAGAGAGCATCTGCATAGATGACTGCATTCAGAGGGCAATAAATAAATAACGGGTCAAAATTATCACAAAGCTTTCTGCGAATAAACCCATACCCTTCACAATACTAAGCTGCAGATGTGAAAAGTACCTAAAGCCCACTCAAATGGTATGATTACAGGGCTGTTTGAGTTTAATAATCTGACTGTAATTCAGGCATTTTCAACAGCTCATTAAGGGTTCATTAATATATAGGCAAGCTTTTGAATTATAAATAAGCGGATTAGAAATCTGTATTGGCTGGACTGTACAGTACTATCCTCTCTAATTGAGCAACACTGTAACACAATGAAGGCTTGACCTGAGAGAAGAAGGTGCAAACACAGGGCTCTCTCATTTCAAGGACCAAGCCCACTAGACCATGACCGACCTCTGTTCATCCAGGACTGAAGGTGAAGAGTGGTTTCAGATCGCAGCTATTTCAAATATGTACTACACATGATCAAGAAACAGGCATAACTAAGATCTAGCTCTACAATATTTCCACAGTAAGGGAAGACACACAATTATCTATAATAATGATGAGCAAGTTATCATCAAATCACTTTTACTTTGTAAAAAATACATTATTCAGTCCTGCTGAGAAGCGAAAAGCATAATTCCCCTAATAAGAATTTACAATAAAACCCCAAATTATTCATAGGCTTAGCCTATCAAATCTTGTACTTTTGTTTTCTGATGGACTTGTTCTTAATTCATTCAACTACCACACTATAGTCTTATTTCAGAGGAAAATGTTTTAGCATAGATTCATGTGAAACAAGCCAGAACAAGCAGGTATATTCTTGATTGCTTTGAACAAGTGACAATTCTAATGTGTTCAGTAATTCCTACAATTTTTCATAGATTTTATTTTTATGTCTTTCATCTGAAAGTTACAAGCAGGACTGTCATCACAAATTACAAAGCCAATTAATGAAAACACCAATTTTATTTTCTGTACTTTCTTCATTTAAAATATCAAGTCGGCTACAATTTAAGAAACATAATCAAATTATAAAAAACTCAGATTAATATAGACACACTGCTATTTTCCTCCCCAAACATAAAAAGATAAAATTGTTTTCTACCTGAAATCCTTAAGTAAGAAGCTGCTGAAGTATGAAAGAAGACCTGGAAACATAATGAAGGTCATACTCCATGGTTGTAAGATTTCATTTCAAACAATTACTTTTTGGTTTGTGAAAACTGATATATTATTTGGAAATACAGTAGGGAAAGACACTGAAAAGCCCTCAAGGCACCACTGTCAAAACTAGTCTTAGGAATTAGGGGTTGGGGTGTAAAAGTTTGGAGTTCTCAGAAAAATAGTGTGTGGGCTACAGATAATGTTAAGGAGCCAAGCCCAGGGAAGGCTGACCCTTAGATAGATGGCTAGATAGATAGAAAAAGAGACAGACAGACAGAAAAATAGATGGACAGACAGACAAAGTTAATTGAATTGTATCAGCATTTCCTAAAGAAAGATCTGAAGTAATATTTGCACCTGGATTTTACACTCTCCTTCTGAGGTCTAAAGATGAGGCTTGTAAAGAAAGGAAAGACTCATATTATTTTATAGATACCAGTAGAAAGCAACTGTAAAAACAACTATTTATAAAACATGATGAGGAAATGACGGACAATACAGTTGAATCGCCACCCACAGTCCCAAAGCCCATCCTGCTCCAGCTCCAAATCTCCTTTTAAGCCAATGTTAGTGTCTAATCCACTGAATATGGCAGTCATATTACAAGCTAATGTCACTTTCACTCCTATTTAAGGTGACTGTGTG